GGTTAGTATCTGCATACTGGGACCTGTGCATTTCAATTGGTTGGGCAGGCTGCCCATCTCTCCTCATATTTATCACTCATTAAAGTGGTACCCTCATTTTATGTGGGTTACATACAGATGCTCGCTGAAAGACAAGACCGTTCCAGCACGAACCTTGTTGTAAAAATAAAGATGACTTCATGTGTTAATATTTTACCTAAAAGTCACACGAGGCGTCTTATCTGGAACATTTTTGCAACACTTTACATGTGGTACAGGTCTGCAGCAGCATAAGGTTAAATAAACAGAAAGAAAAAGCTCATCTCATGCAGTAACTTCACACCACACTTAGTGTCATTGTATGAATACATTCAGTAAATTGCATCCATTCCTGCTTATCTAGTTGCCATATCTTGTCCCACGTCTTTTGTCGTAAAGAGAATTTTCCCACATCAAATTGATAGCTTTGGTGGTGTGATGACTGTTTTCATACCGTTTTGGTTTATCACAAATTCCCTTATTAGAGTGTTGGACTAATTAACCAACAGTCTTATGGATCACTGTGTCTAAGAGGTTGCATATCTAAATGCAATACTCAGAAGACAAAAGTCGAACATACGGTGTGTATTTAATGCTAATTAAATTAAAATAGCAAAGTTCTCAGAACAGCCAGGGAATACAAGTATCCAAGAAACACTAGGATTACTTATTCAGACAGCACATGGAAATCAGAGCTACATGGCACACAGATATGGTCATGGACAACACGACAAATGACAAAGAAGGACTGAGAAAGTACATACACAAGAGGTAATGAGGATAGAGGAAATGAAGACAATCAGGGAACCAGTGAGGGCCCAGGACAGGAAGAAAAGCTGCGCAAGACATGAAGGGAAACTGAATGTTTCAAATTAAAGACAGGAAGTAAGTAAAGAAAACAGACAAGAAGACAGACTGAACGTGAGACATTGAGACAGAGATGAAGAAACATTGAAAGATAAAGACAAACAGACGAGACAGAAGGAGGGCCAGAACAGAAACACAAAGGGAGACTCACTAAATACATCACTAAAGTGAACAGAAACTGAAGGCACAAACAAGGCTAGAAAGTAAACCATAAAGAACTTATACAAAGCATCAGAAAATTAACAAGATGTATTAAAAACAACCTTGTGAATAGAAAACAAAACATTAACACGACAGAAACCTAATCCAAAGAACCTAAAATTCAAAACTAGAATGAATCCTCAACTCAAAGACTCAAAACCTTGGATCAAAGACCCATGGACCATGACAAACTGGGTGGGAGAAGCAGACCAGTTGGTCGGCTCCCTTTCACCAATTTTACAGCCATCATTTTTACCAGGAAAATGTGTCTTCTGTCCTTCAAGGTCTTATTCAAAATCAGCAATACTACACTTTAGGAATTTGATTAATTTGCATAAGAGGAGTGACATCTAAATATCCAGCTGACCTCTCTTCTAATTTGATCAATTTCTCAGACAGTTTACCTGCAGATTTCCAAACAGATTAATCATATTTAAATTATCCTTTTTAAATTATCTTTTTCCTGGAACCACGTTCCAGGATTTTTCCTTCACCATTTATGAGGTTTCAAGAAGAAGATAAACGACAGATATGAATGTTTGAAAAAGTTATAGATGAAAAGATTAGATGAAAACTACTCAAAGGATAAATTCAATTGGTTTATTGTTTTATAAATAAGTTGAAAAAGAAAAAGTTAA